GAGGTCCTTGATTTCGAATTCATGGGCTAGAAACTTCTTTAGCTTTGTCAATTTTTCAGTGTGATCTCCGGTAAGGATGATGTCATCAACATATACAATAAGTACAACAATCTTCTTCTTTGATCTTTTTGTGAACATTGTATGATCAGTCTGGCTTTGAGTATAACCGCACTTGATTACTGAATTGGTGAATTTTGCAAACCAAGCACGAGGAGATTGTTTGAGACCATACAGAGATTTCTGGAGCTTGCATACTTTGCCACTAGGGAAGGACCCTTCAAGACCAGGCGGTAAATCCATGTATACATCCTCTTCAAGATCTCCATTAAGGAATGCATTTTTGACATCAAGTTGCATAAGGGGCCAGTCTCGGTTTGCTGCAATGGAGAGTAGGATTCTAATTGAGTTTAGTTTGGCTACTGGGGCAAATGTCTCTTGGTAGTCAATTCCGTATGACTGAGTATAACCTTTTTGCAACCAGTCGGGCTTTTAACTGATTTATGCTTCCGTCTGCCTTACATTTGATGGTAAATAATCATCTGCATCCTACTGGTCTCGTATTCTTGGGCAAATCAGACACAATCCACGTTCCACTCTTTTCTAGTGCAGCAACTTCTTCATTCACAGCTTTTCTCCATTTCGAGTGTGAGAGAGCTTCCTGAATAGAATTCGGAACTTTTATGCTGTCAATAGCAGTTACAAATGCATGATAGGGAGGAGATAACCTCTCATATGAAACAAATCGGGCAATAGGATGTTGAGTGCAAGGAACATCAGAATCATCTTTCACAGACGGGGTAAGCTTATAATCACTAGTGTCTATAGATTCCATACCTGAGTGAGTTTCAGAGGATTTTGGAGCCGGATTAGATTCTTGGATAACAGCTGGAAGCGGTGTTAGGTTCTTTATTCTTTCAGCAGTTCTGTTTCGTCTTGTATAGACCACCTGAAGTTCCTGAGGAGTGGGTTGTGTAGACTGAAGAGGTTGAATAGGAGAAGGTGTGGGTTGAATAGGACATGAAGGAGGTTTGACGGTCGATGAGGGACCCGTGCAGTTGGTAAAGGAACACAGGGCTGTTGTTCACTACCACTCTCCCCTTGAATGACAGACTTTTGGTAGTATAATTGATGCTAAAAAAAAGTGACATCCATAGAATTATAGACCTTTTTAGTTGAAGGACAATAACACTTGTAGCCTTTCTTGTTGGTCGAATACCCTGTGAATATGCATTTGACAGATTTGGGGTTTAATTTACTGCGGTGTTGTTTGTGAATATGAACAAAGACGGAGCAACCAAATAGTTTGGTGGGGACAACAGAAGAAAGTGTACAGGTATTTGGAAAGGAGCGGAGGACATCAATTGGACTACGGAAACCCAGAATACGAGAGGGCATCCGATTTATGAGATAGGCAGATGTCAATGTTGCCTCGCCCCAATAACATTTAGGGACTGATGTGGTAAACATGAGACAGCGGGCTACCTCCAACAAGTGACGATTTTTCCACTCAGCAACCCCATTTTGTTGGGGAATATCAACACATGTGCTAAGGTGAAGGACGCCATGTTGAGTAAGAAAAGTTCCTAGGAAGGTGTTGAAAAAATCTCGTGCATTATATGTTTTGAGAGCCAGAATTTTTGTGTCAAATTGAGTGAGTATCATTTGATAGAATGCACGAAATATTGGTCCTACCTCGGATTTGTCACGCATAAGATAGATCCATGTCACCCGTGTGTGATCATCAATAAAGGACACGAACCATTG